AGGGCTTCTATTGGCCTTAAGGACGACATGACCCCTTAAAAGTAGGGGCCCTATACCCTTATACTATGAATCCCTATATGGCACATGAGCCCTAAACCTTTTAGGGTCCATGTCGTCCTTAACCCCTAAACCCTGTACCCTATAGAACCCATACTGGCTCTTATAAGAACTCTTAAAGGAACCCTAAAGCCACCCTTTTAGGGTTCATTTCGTCCTTAAGGGAGTGGGCTGCAGAGTTCCGGTACTGCTTCGAGGTTTCCAGGATTTCATTCGGGCTTATGCGGCCTCACAGAGTTTGTTCTATTATAAGGGGTTTAGGGGTACCCTCAAATGACTCATATTTTAAGACTTTTGGGCCCAAAGACCCTAGTATATAAGGCTTTTGGGCTATTTTGATGCTAAGGGTTTAGGGTTTAGGGTTAAGCTCTGAATCGGCGGAAACGACATCAATTAATCTTTCTGGTGCGAAAAACCTAGGTGTGACGCCCGCAGCTCACGCCGCGATGCTGTTGCCGCACTCTTTGGCTGCTCACGAAGAGACTCAGTGTGGTATGACAAAGATCAAGATCCCAGTCCCCATAACTGTAAATCCTGAATCCGGGAAATCCAACACCGAAATTGTGCGAACAATGCCCTTAACCCCACCTATCACGCCCTGAGCCCTCAAGCCATGGACCCGAAACCTCAACCCGAAAAAGACCAAGGGCTCAGGGTTCAGGGCTTAGGGTGCCCTAAAATAAACTGTAAGCCGAAATCATGGATGGAGCTCCCTTGCGCCAGAGTAGCGCCAAATCTTCGACAGACGGCAGCAGGCACATCTGCATTCTGGTTTTGCGGTTCAGGAGTTTAGGGTTTAGGGTTCTGGCTTTTCGGGTTTCACTGCTTTGGTTCTTAATGGGTTATAGGGTTTAGGGTTTAGGGTTTTGGGTTTTGGGTTTAGGGTTTAGGGTTTAGGGTTTAGGGTTAGCTGTGACTGCGATTACCATTGTTCTGCCACCAACAAGCTCTTCTTCTCGCACCCTGCTTATACGGTACTGGCATGGCATGTTCTGCTTGCTGTGAATGTTTGTGACACTTGCTACTATGGAACGAGCTCACTGCATTTCTGCTGAGGATCCCTAAACCCTAATCCCCTAAACCCTAGTCCCCTAAACCCCTGAACCCAAAACCCCTAAACCCTAATCCCCTAAACCCTAAACCAGACCTAATCCCCTAAACCCTATCCCCCAAAGCCCTAAACCCTAAACCTTATGTCCGACCTTGACTCCATCCTTGCTCAAGCCCCCTCGAGGGCCAGAGCCCTTAAATCCTGACCCGCCCGGAAACCCTAAACCCTTAAACCCCGAAGCCCTACACCCCTAAACCCAAAACCCTAAACCTCAAGCCCCTGTTTCAGCCGTAATCATCTGGGCCAGAAGGAGGGTTTCTACATAGCAAGTCTTTTTTTAGAGAACCAAAGCCGGAGTTCAGGAGTGGCTTTAACCCCAAATAATCGGCTGAAGGTTAGGGTTTACCAGCACCCCCCAAGTACCCTTTAGTAGAGTCCTTATGGTCCTTAATAGTGGGTACTTAGGGTATAATAGAGGGTAGTTGGGGGGGTGCTGGTAGGGTTTACTGTTTAGGGTTAGGGGTTTAGGGTTTAGGGTTTTATAGACAGAAACCATAATGACATTGAATGTTGAAGCCTAAAAGGAAGGTAGGATATTTGGGGTCCAGGTAAGGTATATAAGACCTACAAGCTTGTAGCTTGTGACCCCCTTAGCTAAGGGTATGCTTAGAGGATCATGGGACATAGTAACAAGAGTTATATGTACATTCACTGGGTGATAAGTCCTTCAGCCATTGTCTAGGACATTTTCAGGTGGGTAGATACCGTTATAGGAGCCTTATAGAAGGTCTATATACCTAATAGAAGCCTTATAGAAGCCCTAGATACCCTAAACTTTTGACCTGTAGTTTCCTCTAACTTACTTCAAAGCCCTAGTTGCAAAGTCCCAGGATCCTTCAAGAAACCCCCAAAGCAAAAGGCCTGTGGATCTTCCGTTTAGGAATGCAAAAACCGGGTTTATAATTATCGTTTCCCTACTTTTTGGCCACTTATTATAGTATAATTACTCGCTAACCTCCCTAAACCCTAAACCCTTCATGGGTAGTTATAAGAGGGGTTATAAGTCCCCTACTATGGGTTATAGTTACAGTTACCCTACTTATAACCCCACTTATAACTACCCATGAACCTCCAAGTAAACCCTCCAAGCAGGTCTTTCGAGGAAAGCTGCTGTCGCTTCGTGGCATCCATGGCCGCTGCAAGTCCGGAGGTCGTGCGCGGGATTCCGCTCTTCCGGCTGGTTCGGCTTCTTAGTGCTTCTTAAGAGGAGGTTTAGGGGTTAGGGTTTAGGGTGGGCTTTGTAAGGGTTTAGGGTTTCGGGTTTGAGGTGTTTCTTCAGGCAGAAGGCTTTACAATTGGTTTTTAACCGGGGTTTAGGTTGTTCATCTTAAGACAGTATAGGGGTTTAGGGTTTTTGGCTGTAGATGTTTGATTCACATAAGGGTTTCAGGGTTTAGGTTTCAGCACATCAGGCTCTAAGGCTTCATACAGCTTTCACTGGCGTCTACTTGGAGGTTAGTTACAAGTCGGTTATAAGTAGGATAGCTATACTTATGACCCATATGAGGGGAAATTTACTCTACTTATTACTACCCATCAACCTCCAAGTATAGAGGCGTTGTAGCTGATGTTCAATGCTTTGCAATTTCTAAACTGATTACCCGTTAACCTTCTGATTCTAGTAAGCTGGGCCCCTCTAAGTCTTAAGCCTCATTCTAGATCTCAGGCTTGCGCCGCTCTACTGGCTGAGAGGGGAGCTGCAGAGACTGCGCCTAGCCAGGGTTTAGGGTTAGGGGCCCAGGGTTGTTGTTTTTTCCTTCGTAGAGTAGGTAGCCTTCAGCTATTGCATAGGTAGCTTTCCAAACTGGGGTCCCCTGTCAGGGCCCTTTATATAAGGGTGCCGTACTATATTCGGGAGCTAGGAAGGGACCCCAAAAATAGAGAGCTACCTAGCTATTCTGAAACGTTAACCTTCAGCTCCTGTAAGATACTAGACAACCAAGTTCGGTTCTGATCTCTTAGATGTCCCATCATAGAGAGGGTTGCATAGCGCTGGAAGGGATACCTACCGGTGGAAAGATGACTTTGCAGGATTTTCATAGGGCCCTAAACCCTAAACCCAAACATATTAGAGAGTTAAGGGCTGTCCTTCTGAGAGGTTACGTAGAAAACACGAGGCAGATCGGTGAAGATACCTTCTTTATAACGGTTTCTTGATTTAATTTAAGGACCAGGGTTTCGGGTTTAGGTGTTTAGGGGGTTTGAAATTTGACTAAGGGGCCGAGTAGGTAACATTTAACCTTTCAAGGGCTCATATAGTCCTACTATAACTAGGTTAACCTTTGTTTGGGCTAGGGTACTCAGGCCCTAAGTTGGGGTTTAAGGGTTAAGGGTGCAGGAATGGCCAAAAACCCAGAAAAGGCAAATAATCTACATACTTTTGGGGTCCGGGTTTGGGTGTTTAGGGGGTTTAAAATTTGGGGTTTAAGGGTTAAGGGTGCAGGATTTAGAGTGCCCTGTCCGTTCAACCCAGGTCTGGTCGGCAGCCTGTAACCTTAAACCCTAAACCCTAGTAACCGTTAGGGTTTAGGGTTCAGTGGTTTAGGGTTTAGGGCTTAACTGTTTAGGGGTTTCGGGGTTTAGGGTTAAGGGGTTTAGGGTTTAGGGGCTTAGGGTTTAAGGTATCCTAAACCCTAGAACTTCCCTCTGGCCTCGCAACAGACAAGGCGTTCTGCCTGAGGGCTGTGCCCGAAACCCGAAGCCCGCAGCATGAAGCTCAAACCCTACCCGGACCCCAAAAGTATCTAGATTGATGGTCTCTTATGGGTTTTGGGCCATTTGTTTTACCTACTTTTGAGGGTTTAGGTAATCCCTAACCCTGAACTGTAACTTTATGTCTTGCAAGGCACCATCGCAGTGAGGTGGTGACCGAGTTTGACGAGTTTTGGTCTCACTCCTGGCAGGCCTCAGCTGGCTCGAAATGCATCAACATCCTGATGCGGACAAATGGCGTGCCTGCGCTTCTTGGTGCCAGCCTTCAGGACGAAAAGACCCCAAAAGGCTTTAGGGTTCATATACCATATAGGGATTCGTAGTATAAGTGTACAGGGCCCCACTTTTAAGGGTCATTTCGTCCCTAAGGAGTGAAGCCTCAACGCTGTAGGGGCCTGAATGACTACGGTTGATGATATAAATCCTGCATTACCCATAATAAGGAAAATACCATAAGTCCCATAGTTTAGGTTCCTTAAGGTAGTGCAGGATTTGTAACATCAACAGTACCAGTACTATTTTCGGGAATTCCTCACTATAATTATAGTATAAAATACGAAAAATACCAGTCTAATTAACTCCCTACAGCCATTATTGGAGTAGGGTATGGGGGGGGGACAATATACTACAGTTATCAGAGGAAACCAAAGGATTCAGAATGTTGGATGTGTTTTGAAATCTGCATCTGCAGGGTTTAGGGTTTGGGGTTTACGGTATATACGAATGAGCATATAGACTTCCAATTATTTTTAAGGGTTGTCGAGGCACCACTTTGCATCCTGTGACATGTGCCTGTGCTTGTGTAGATGTGTAATATATACTTATGCAGAAACCGCGTAAACCGTACAAACGACGAAGGTTTCTTCTTTTACACTACTTCACCCTAAACCCTAAACTCTAAACCCTAAACCCTAAAACCTAAAACCAGTACTTCGCCAAGAGCAAGGTTCCTGCTGAGTATGGTCAGTGTGATGGTTGCGACATTGCTGGCTCGCCTTGAGATTTTGCACCCCAGGGACCGGTTCGGAGCTGCCTGGTGCGTGCTTCTGGGAAGCCTGGTTTACTACAGCACCTTGCTGCTCTGGAGGCAACGTCGCGTGGTGTTTCTGGACTTGGCATGCATAAACCAAACCGACACTGGGTGGCGATCCCTAAGTCCCAAACAGCTTTTCTTTGTTTTTTTTTACTTCCTTCATGAAAAACCCTAACTACAAATTAACTTTAGGGGCTGCCGAAACTCTCAACCCTGAAGCCCTTCTACTTCCTCTAAGGAAAGAACCTAAAACCTTAAACCCTAAAACCCTAAGCCCTAAAAACCCTAAAAGTAGGCAAAATAATGGCCCAAAAACCCATAAAAGGCCATCATTCAAAAGACTTTTGGGCTCCAGGTAAGCCCTAAACACCCGAAGCCCTAAGCCCTAAGACCCTAAGCCCTAAAACCCTAAGCCCTAAACTCCAAAACCCTAAACCCTAAGACCCTAAGCCCTAAACTCCAAAACCCTAAACCCTAAGACCCTAAACCCCTAAACCCTAAACCCTAAAACCCTAAACCCTAAACACTTAGGACCGGGAGCTCAAGGCCCAGGGCATAGGGAGCCTGGGAGCAATTCTGAAGGCGTCGAAGTCCATGTCGGTGATGTGGGATGCAACGTACGCCACGCGACCCTGGGCGCAGTTCAGGGTAGAGGATTTATAGGGTCTAGGGTTTGAGATTTAGGGTTTGGGGTTTAGGCCTTAAGAATGCTTAAGCAAAATTGGGTTCTCGTCGAGGTTGCAAAGAAAGGGGTTCTGGTTCTATCAGCGTTCTATCGGCTCTTTTGCTTATACCTCTTAGGGGCTTAGGGTTTAGGGTTCAGTATTTAGGGCCAAGGGTTTAGGGGTTTATCGAGCCTCAACCTGTAAATCAAGGCTGGTGCCCGGGTGTTTCTTGCACAAACCAAGAATGTAAGCCTCCTGCGCAGTGTCCACGCAAGGACTCTGGTGCATGTTCGAGCTTGCGGCTTTTCTACATAGCCGACCAGCCGAAAGCAAAGCAGAGATCATGGTGTGCCCGCCATTGTTGGGTCCCATCCGGCTGGGAATTCATTTCGGCATGCTTCTACTCATGCTTGTGTACTGGCCAGCCGTGTTCTTCGGCGGGCTGAAGGTCCTGGGCGGTGCTGCCTTCGTTTGTCTTTGCTGGGCGGGACATACCGTGCGAGCATATTGGCGCGACGTTGACATGATGGAAACTTAGCAGCTGAATGAGTACACTGTACACTTGTTGGGACAGAATTACGACATTGTAACAGATCTGCAAGTTTAGACTTCCTTGGGGCTTCTGAATGAGTGCACCTTACCCTCTGTATATGCAGATCACCCCTTATAATAGAACTGACAGTTTACGCTTTTTGGAGGCTGATGAATTCAGCAGCTAAGGAAAAGCAAGCCGGTCAGTTCTCCATCGCTCGCAGCCTCTGTTCTTGCTGCGACGCGGGCACGGAGTGCAACAATCTCACATGTGACCGCAGGATTATTGCTGCGTGTATCCGAGCCTGGTTTGGTTCCATAGCCATCTTCGAGGAGCGGGTGCACTACGAAGAGCGGAAGCTGCTTGCCAACCGTCTTCGCAACAACTCCATCACCTACTTTGAAATGGTGCAGGCGGCAGCTCCTATTCTTTGGTTGGGACTCGATGTTATGGCGACTCGAGAGAACATGCATTTCAAGTCTGCCGAGCTAGCAAAGGATTGCGCGCGGTGGTTGGCAATCGTCCCTTTCATCATGAAGCTATGCCTCCGCTTGACGTACTCCCTCAGAGCGCGCTGTTGCACTGTTCATGTGGATATTCTCGTTTCCTGTGGAATTGTGGCCGTCGCAGTTGCTTTATTCCTGCTGAGTACAATTATTGACCTGAACGTACTTCAGCGGCTGATTCCTGATCCTTGATCAATGCTCGTGCTGCTAGTAAGGGATTGGATACTGCCCCCTCTCAGTATCGGTTGCACCATATTCTCAACATGTATACATACATACATACATACATACATACAAACAAGTATATACATTATATATATATATATA